AAACATTGGCCATTGGCTTAATAGTTTGATGTCATTGTTTTATCTACTCCCCTTTTCCAACTGGTTGAGTGTTTATTTGTTTAATTATTTAGAGCTGCAATGGGCATTGAATAAAGACGTAGTATTTCTAGTATGAAACATTAAAATCCCGTCATTCAATCTGCAGGAGTCTCCTCAAGCTGCTAGAGTCAAAGTATTGGTGGCCGGCAATTCAACAGAAAGGCGATTCAGGTAATATGCATAGCTTCAAGTCCTCTTTTCCTCTGCCCATGCCGGCACAAGATCCCGTACATAAGCAATTGGCTGCAACTCTGCAACTGTTTGTTAATTTTCTGATTTATTTCATCCAAGGATTTGTGATTTCACATCAATGATGCATTAACAGATCAAATGATATGAAAAATGAATTTTGAAACTCACTAAAATGCTTTCAAGTTTCACCTTATGTAGTTATAGCTTATGTGTTGTTCAATTTAGTGTTTGCAATATACATTCATCCAATTTCTCTTCCCCTGACTTCATGTTGGTGTTTAATTTTGCAGTGTTTGGATAGGCGGAAGTATATTGGCGTCTCTTGGTTCATTCCAGCAAATGTGGTTCTCCAAGGCTGAGTAAGTTTCATGATTTCACCAGTCTTGCTTATCTGTATTAAACGATCTACATCGTAAATGGTGATTAAGAAATCATGTAAAGTGTTTTATAGTTCCTTCTTGATATTTTGCTTCATACGATTGCGATTGACAGGTACGAGGAGCATGGGGCTTCTTACATACAACGAAAGTGCCCTTGAATTTTCTGTTTTCTGATTGACTGCCAGTAGGAAAGGTTTGTGCTTGATGTCAACTTAATTATCACTTCCGGATTCTTATTTTTTCTCCTAATATAAATTATAAACGCGAAATTACTTTTCTACGTTCAGGTCTCTCTCGTTCTCCATCACGCTAGCCTTTTCCTGAATGATCAAAGCTTCAAAACCCGTGTTGTCGAACTGGATGGAGGGATGCTTTGTTTTGCATCGATCATCGCTTATCCCGTGTACCGCAATACTTTTCACTGCTTTAGCTTGTGTTAATGTCCGTTGATTAGGGTTCAAAGTGTTCATCTGGTTTATACACCAACTTTGCTACCTCAACTAGTTTTATATGTCAAAGCCATATAACATTTCTAACAGCTTACGTTGCTTCTTACACGCCCCTCTTTATTTATGGCCATCAGATTGATTAAACTAAATAGGTTAAATAGGAGTGTGTGAGGCTAAAAAAGGCATGTGAAAATCATTTCCCTTCGCGGAAATGTATGAGTTTGGATACCAGCCAATATTAGTTGGGTGCACCCTAGACCGCATTTATCCACCCGATTTGCAATTGACAAATTTTCGTCTTACAAATGTTATAATCGTTGCTGTCATTAACTATGTCGTAGATCACAATTTCAAAATCATCTAAAATAAAAAAATTAAAAAAAAAGAATACCGTTTAGTAACCTATATGCATTTAACAAGTTGATGATTTTGGTTTTAACAGAAATTCTCGTAACCATTTGTTCCTCTGAATTTGATGAACAATTCAACATGGATGTGTGAAACCATATCCAATTTGATTGACTTAAATGTCTAATTACTTATCTAAATTACAAGTGAAAAGTAATTACAAGCCTTGTGCAATAAGCAATCCTAGTTTTACAACATAATAATGTGGTTCAAATTCGTTTCTGGTAAGAATTGAACCTAAGATCTTTCACTTGTGAGTGAAAGGAATACCACTAAACTGTAGTACAAAGTGACATTTTGAACCGGATGGAGTGTAGATACATCCACTTCATCCCACCTATTTTTAGTTCTCAATTATCATTGTTCAGCATTATAACTACGTTCACTTGCTGCTTGAGTATCTCTTTGATCATTGTTTTTAACTTCATTTTCATGTAGGGTGATTTGCCTGTTTTTGATAATTTGAATATTTGGAGCTGGACTTTAGTGATTGTGATTACTCGGAATTGCTAACAAAGTTGTTCAAGAGCTCACCAAAGCTAGAAAATCTTGTCATCAAACATCAAGTAAGATTTATTTCCACTGCTGCTACATGTTTCCCAGTCTGCAGTCTTTTAGGGTTCATTCTCATGTCATTCCTTCTTTTCGATGATTTTTAGTATTGTACCGAATGTGCTGAAGAAGACTCAAACGCCGAGGTTGAAGAATTTGATACACCAGAGGCTGTGCCTATTTGTTTGTTGTCACACCTCAAGATCACCACAATAAACGAATTCAGGGGAAGACCGCATGACAAAGAAGTGGTGAAATATTTTTTTAAGAACTGTGAAATTTTGAATAAGATGACTGTTTCTACAATGTGGATCGCCAATGTGCAGAAGAGAATGCGTTGTGGAAGGAAGTTTTGCTGTTTCAAAGGGGTTCAAAGACTGGTCAAGTTGAAATGAAATTTTAGGTTTTGGTATGATTAATTTGCAGTTTGTTTTGTGTCACATATTTTCTCATCAGTTGTTTTTCTTCTTCTAACTTTGGGGGAATTCGACCATGGATCTGCATTGTATATATCATACTCACATTGCCTTGGTTGGCCAATTTTTTGGTTTCGATATTATTGTAGCCTTGATTCCTTTTTATTTTTGGTTTGAATTTATTTAACTGAACTTCTGTCCAATGCAGGAGAAGAAATGTGCAAAGATCAAAGACAAGCAAGTGCTCTGTCATAGAGAAGCTAACTTTGTACCGGATGCTCTTACCAATTTAAAACATGGGCGCAATTCTTCTTTCTCACGTTTGGATCATCTCTTAAGCTCACCAATCACGCTTGTGCTGCTCTCCAATTTCAACTCATTTCGATCAACTCCTAAAATTTCTGTTACTTGTGTCATTAACACGGGAGCTCGATACTGAACAAATACAAAATACTAGTTATACCACGAAATAGAACGCTTTTTGAATCATCTGTACGTGTTTACTTACGAAGAGTGAAAACTTTGGGTGACCCAGTTTGAGAGAGAGATCATTAAAGCTTTGACGTTGGGTTTGCAATCTAGTTATCTCGGGGATGTAAGTTCATAATCCTTGCTTGAAATTACTGATACTGTTGTTGCCTCCCTCATCTTGTAGATTAGTCTTCTGTTATATCAATATCTCAAAAGTGGAAATGTCCTTTCTGTAGAAACCACAGCAGATTTTAATGTCAACGTTGAACTTTTATGGCCAGCTTTTTTCTGATATATGTGCATTAATGATAACTGATGCTTTGCAAGTTCCGAATGGCGAATGCCAGTAATCGTCAAGCTGAAACAAAGAATCGAACACTACCATGTAACATGTCAAGTATCCGGTAAGAGAACGTTACTATTAAGTATTATCCTACATGTTTATTAATCTCACACACGTACGTTGTCATATTGCAGCAATGATCGAGCCTAATGCGGACGCAGAGTGTTCAAAAAGCTTCATTTCGCTGATACAAGTCCCCATCGCCAAGCTCCCTTCCGGAGGTCGAGTTTTCAGTGTCCAATTCTGAATGAGTGCCCTAGTGACCAATGCACAATTGGGAAAATCCATCTGAGTTGTGGCTCATTTCAATCTGAGAGACTGATTAACCCCAAAATCTTCAGGCGCTTGAGCAACATTGAGTGCCTTGTTAATGATGGCAACCCTATTGCATATGGTGCAACTGTCTCTTTTCAGTATGTCGCACCAAACCAGTTCCCTCTCTCTATGAAGGACAAGTTGGGCAAACCAGAAAAGATCTTAATAATTTCCTTGTTGCTGCACAATTGAGGATGGACAATGTTGAACATCATCAACAAAAGAGAATTGCAACGGAGATTGATGTCAATAAATTTTCAAATGTGTTTTGGCTACAAATGAGGAGAGTTTCGTGGGTTGCAAAACGTTAGATGAGTGAAAGAAATTGTATAAGTCGACCATTTGGGTCCGTGTCCTTATTTTGTTCAACTTTCATTGTCATTGCTTGCTGCGGATGAGCCTTGTTAACAGAACCTGCATACAAATGATCATTTATCAGTTGATTTATTGCAATAAAGTAGAATGTAATACACAGACCGGTCTGACTCGGTCCGGTTACTCGGTTTTGAATTTTTCGGTTAATATGTTTTTTTTTTGGTATCTTTAATACAGTTTGATTTGGTTTTCCGTTTGGCGGTTTTTATGCCCATCCCTACCTGAAATGTTTGTACCTCGAGCTTTCTTATGAAACAAAAACTAAAGCAAGGAGGATGATTTGATAGTCCTATTCCAAATCCTATTCTTGATAAGAAGAAGATATTTGCATCGAATTCCTGTCCTAGTAAGAAAATAATATTCCGATTCCTATTCTTGATAAGAAGATAACATTTGCATCGGATTCGTATTCCTAGTAAGAAAAGAATATCTGCATCGATGAGGTGGTTGAGTTGTATTTAAACGCTTATAATTTTATTTCCTTTCATTCATTCTCTTCAAGATCCAATTAATTATTTAATTTTAATTCCAGTTTCAATGGCGGATCCTCCACCTGTTAATTCTTGTTCGACATCGTCGACCAACTGCTGTTGCTGCTGCAGATCTTCGAAGCTTCGTCCTATTTTTGATCTGCTCTCAAATATACAAAATCTTATGCCTATGAAGCTGGAGGGCGTCGACTTTTTTGTCTGGAGGTATCAGATGGACACCATTCTGAGAGCTTACGATCTTATAGGCTACGTCGATGGCACACTCAAATGTCCAGATGAATTCATCATTCAAACTTCAACGAGGCGGAAGATGGTTAATCCGGCCTATGAGATATGGTGCAGGGAAGATCGAGCAGTGATGGCCGGGATCAATGTTACGCTCCCAACTTTCCCACTCATGGAAGTCAAGAATTGCTCCACAGCCAGACAACTATGGCTTGTACTAGAGCAAAAATATAAGGGTGGAGCTCTGCTGTGACACCAATTTTTACTTTTCACACACCCCAGACGGTTGAAGATCAACGACAAAAAACTAACAACAGTATGTGAAAAGTAAAAATAAGTGTGTCAATAGCACTAACCAATTATAACAAGACATATGCATCTCCTGATAAACCATAAGTTTGTTGTTTGCTGTGACTCCTCCACTAAAGATGCTGCTGCTTCCTTTCCTCTGATATACTCTTGTATTAGCTCATAGACTTGGGGATTTATATTGAACAATTATTTGTAATCAGTTCTTGTAACGTAATTCATCTCTATAAATACAAACATATAAACTCTCTCAGAATTAACTGAGTTGAGCATCAATAACTCTTTTAGCCTTTATAATCTCATGTGTGATTATTTCTAAAAATCTCATGACAAAACACCAATTTTTTTTTCCTCCTCTTCTGCCCTACCCACTTCAACTATTCCTGATGTCTCTAATTTTTTGACGATCAAGCTTGATCGCACAAACTACCCTCTTTGGCATGCACAAATCCTACTCCTGCTTCATAGCAGGAACCTCGTCTCCTTCGTTGATGGCACCAATTAGTGTCCTTGGCTTTTCTCAAGGATACTGCAGGCAATCTCACCATTGTTGTCAACCCAGCCTTCCAAGTCTGGATGCAGTAGAATGCCATGATCATATCATGGATCAATGGACAAAAAGCTTTTGGATTGGCCTACCAGATGCAAAATAGCACTAGGTGCGGCAAGAGGAATATCGTACCTTCATCACGATTGCATCCCTCACACATAATCCATAGAGATATCAAATCAAGCAACATCTTGTTAGATCAAAACACGGAGGCTCAAGTGTCCGGTTTCGGATTGGCCACCTTGATGAACCGGATAAAACTCATGTTTCAACACTTGTAGCTGGAACTTTCGGATACTTAGCTCCTGGTACAGTTGAAGTGCCAACCATCAATTAACAGTAATATTGCCGGTAGCATACTGCTCAATTACCTTCTTGTGCAGAATATTTTGATACGGAAAGAGCAACAGTGAGAAAGGCGATGTTTACAGTTTTGAAGTGGTTTTACTCGAACTTCTAACCAGAAAGAAACCTACGGATGAAGCATTTATTGAGGAGGGAACAAAGCTTGTGAAATGCGTTAGTTATGAACTCAACAGTTCAAGAAACCATAGCAACCATTATTACTGAATCCTCCAGATTCTTACTTGAATTGCCATAAAATTGCTTTCGTCGTTGATTAGTGACCAAACCTACCTGCAAATCAATCAGTTAATGATGTTCGCAGGTGAAGGCAGTTGTTCAGGACAAAAGGGAGGACTATGTACTTGACAGTAACTTAGGCTGCTGTTCGGTCGATGACATTAACACTGCTTTTAGTATTGCATTAATTTGCCTTGAACCAGAGCCTTCAAAGAGGCCTACCATGGTTGAGGTTATCAAGATGCGAGAGAAAACCATGGTTGTGGTTTTACACCTAAAATGTCTGTACCTAGAGCTTTGTTTCGTCATTTCTCTCAGATATGCAAAAATGGATGAGCAATTGAAACAGACATTCTCTGTTATGCTTATTTTTCTGTAAGCATTACTTGTGTTGTAGGTTGGACTTTAACCAGAGAGCAGTCAGCAAGATAGCTACCATAAGATGGTTGAGAAATATATTTTCTTTGAAATTATACCACTTCCTGGTCCAGCTCCAATCCAAGGTACACAAATAGATACATAAACGAAAGGCGTCAGCTCGAGTGGCCAACAGAGAAAATGAAAAAGCTTACTTGAGGATTGATTCCAGTCCATTCAAAACCGAAGCTTTCAAGGAGGGAGAAACTGGAGTATCTCCGAAGAATACATCAAACAGAGCAAAAGCCACGTTTTCTGATTCAATTTCAGCATCCACACCAGACGGAAGCCCATCAGATGAGATACAGACCTAAATATCACAATAAATCTCATTTGGTAAGATCGCATGCAACGAAAAAATTTACATAGAAGCATAACATAACTATCTTGGTTTACGTTTGCAAACCAGCAAGCAACACAAACTAGTATCGGAATTCGTATCAGAGGAAATCCGAGAGAAAAATTCAGGGAAACATAGAACTCCCAAAAGCCTGCACTAGTTGGCCCGCATAAGAAACCAGTAAATTCGTACTTACAAGCATTTTGGAAGGATCTGGCCAAGTCAAAAATATGAAAGTTCCTTTCTTAAGAGGTTGCCCTTGAAAGATGCTACGGAATGTGGATAGTGCAGATTCATCAACAGGAGTTGGTGATTTGATTCTTGGAGAGATGGCATCATTCAAGGCGTCCCAAAAAGTTTTCCCATCAACATCTCTAACCAGAACAATCTGTAATGATTTCTCCGAAGGAGCTGCAATTAGGAAAAGTAACGTTAGCAACCTTTTTATGTGCAAGTGTGTGTGGCAAGGAAAATGCACAATTTTTATGATTATTACATAGAAAAATGGAGCTGAACAAGGATGAATCCTCTTGAATCTCAGCAGTTGATCTTCCTTTCCAAGCATTCAAACTATTTAAGATGGACTGGTTCGCATATAGTCCTGCAGCATAGACTTTTACGCCAATAATTGCAAAGACCTTTTCCCTGTATCCTGCAACCATTGACAACATTGAAGTTATATGCTACATGCCTCGCCTCAATTTAATTAAAAGCTACTATAATCTCAGAATTTGTATCAAAAGCCAGCACACGGCTATCTTAATTTTCTTTAGAAAGAATGCATTTTGGTATATATGATATGAAGCAACTGACCAGTTCCAAGCAAGGTCAATGAACTCGAGCAACCCGGCAGACTCAAAGATGTTTGAAATCTCTCTTTGGTAGCAGGCTCCTCGATGTATTCTGTGCTTCCAACTGCAGTTTTGAATGTATAGAAAAATACATCAGTATTTGTTATGAATGCAATCAAGGGAGAATATAATGAATGATTGAAATGGAACAGAATAGTAAATCTTGAATGCAAAAACTTAATGAAGTATCTTCTCGTGATTGCGAATACCACTGATTACAGAATTTTGATTGAACCAGCTAGATGTGTTTCTATTACAAGGAGTTTCATGGTAAAAGAAAACGCATAGGCATCCAAATTTAACAAAGAAAATGCATAGGCATCCAAATCTAACAAAATATATATTCTTTACTTTCGTTCGTTGTCTCAGTCTTCAACGAAAAAGCAGAACAACAACAAAGCCTTATCCCACTAAGTAGGGTTAGATTTATGAATCATAAAATGCCACTGCGCTCAGTTTTACGCTAAGTTTTCCGTTAGCTCCAAGTACTCCATATCTTTTCCTAAAGTCTCTTTCCAAGTGGAGTTAGGTGTGTCTATAAGGTTAAATCTTAATCAGATTGTCTCCATGTTTTCAAAGTTCTGAAACCAGTATCAAATTCTACAACTTCACCAGGCATTTTTGTTTCATTTGAAGCAATATAATAACAAAATCGACTAAAGTCACCGACTTTCCGAAATCTACTCACTCTCTGACCAGAAATCTGACTGCTTTCCTGTCCTCCACCTCAATTCAACAACAATAAACCTATCAAAAAATATGACCACATTTACAAGATTTTTACCAGAACTTTCTGCAGTGACACTATTTATCCCATGGACATTTTCAGATGCATTTCCTTCTTGTTCTACATTACTGTTTGGATTTAAACAGAAAGAAAGTAAATTCTCTGCACATAATTACCATGGCAACTGAAATTTCAAATGAAAATAATATACCAAAACCTTTTTAATTTCACACAGAACAAATTGAAGTTAAAATTCTGCGGATAACCGAAAAAAGAAGTGAGGAAACTGAGTGGGAATACTTCACCTGAAGTTGAGGAAGCATTCACTGCAAAAGGGGTCCGGGATTTAATGTTCTTCTGAGGGGAGAAGTGAATGGGGGTTTGGCAAATGAGAACATTTGGGTTTGAAATTCCAGTAAGGAATCCAATTCTGGGTTTGGGAATGCAGTTCCTGGTGGGAATGGGAGATTGGAGCCATTTGGGACTGCAAATTGCTTGAGCTTCAAACATGCTTTCAGCTTTTGGATTCTGGAAATCCCGTTTTCAGTTTTCCAATCAAACTTTTTGATAAGTGAAAAAGATGGGAGTTCTACTGCGTTTGTTTTTACTGCAGTAAATAAAGGAGAACTATTCCCAAGTCCTGCTCTCGGGGCACTGATAACTTGATGAATCTTCGGCAACGGTTGTCTTTGGAACACAAATATTATTCTTACTACATTTTTCATGTCACAGTTCTATCATTTTTCTAATAAAAATAAAACTCACGTGTTGATATATCCCATTTTTATTGAAAATATTATACAAATATGATATGAAAAATATGGCAAGCATATCATTACTAATGTGAACTGTGAAGCCAGCAGTCGGTCGGTCACTCCAATAACTTGAGGTGGAATCCGAGGTGGTCAATGAATCATGAGCAAAATACCTATGGATTTGGGTAACCACGGTTACCCGCCTAAAAGTTTACGGTTACGGTTATGGGTAACCGTTTAGAGGAACAAACGGTTATGGGTATAACCATTTATCCGTGAAATTTAAATGGACAGTTATGGATATTACCTGCAGTTATAACGGGTATCTATCAATTATGGGTATTACCCGCGGTTATAACTGGTATCCATTTACCCATTTAATTTAATATATGTAAAGTTAAAAAAAAATGAAAAACCCTAAATTTTTGTTTTTTACTTTGGAGTTATTGGTGATACTAATTCAATTTATGCATATGGGTGTGTGAAAAATCAAGGGATGTAAACCTTCTGTTTATGCAGATTGATGAATGGTGATACTAACTCAATTGATTTGGTACTCCACTTTTGTTTGCAGTTTTTTTTTCTTTTGATAACTAAGTATACAATGTAAACTTTCTGTAATCACTTACCTCTGTTGGATTCATGCTAATTGATGTCGGTGTTCCTAAATGAGATACTAATTCAATTTATACATTTATTTTGTAGGCCGCTTTTGGTGACAACAAGTTGATGAGACTTTGTGATTGAACGTGCTAAAACATTAGTGTTCGAAAGTGTTTAGTTTCGGAATATTTTGAAGCTTTGAATCATCTAGTATTCAAGATAATGACTACATTTTGTTTGTAGAAGCTTTACTTTGTAATCATATGGATTATAATTAAAGACTTACTTGGGTGTAGCAGAAAAATATCGTTTGTAAACTATTATTTCAATTATTGGAATTCTATGAGAACTTAAATGATTAAAATAGGGAAATGCATGCTAAGATGTACCTAAATGGTGTTTAATTGTCAGAAAACGAAAAATTATGACGAATTTTTCTTTTGTAGTTTTCAAGTTATTAAAAAAAAAAAAACATGTAAACAGGTGAAAAAGGAATAAATGGGAAAAAACAAGGATAAATGGGTTCAAAAACGGGTAAATTGTTATTGTTAAATAGGTAAACGGTTATGGTTAAATGGGTACACGGTTATGGGTATGGTTAACCATTTATAAACGGTTATGGGTATGATTATAACCGTTTATGTAATTACCCAATGGGTAAACGGTTATACGAGTATGAATATAAACGGTTATGAGTAAATAACCACAATTACCCACCTACTATAACTGGTGCCCGTCTCTGCTGATGATGTGAGGGAGACGCAAAATCCCTCCATAAGTGGAAGGAAGTTGTTCTCAAAAGCTCCAATCTTTTCAACTTTTACAAGAGAATTCCAAGAGCATCCCAAAACGGATCACTTAACTCACTAATTGATTGACCCCCGGTAATAAAAGATAGCCGTTACACTTTGACCTTTTCTCCCACTTTAAAATCCCACCTTTCTTTCTCTCTGATTCCGTTCCACCATCAGAAAACACAAAATATTTCAACTTTCTTCTTCTTCCTCTCCTCAACCTTTTTGTTGCTAAAGTAGCTCTCTCTCTGTTGTGCTCCTCCTCTTGTCCTTCACTTCAGGTACTTCTCATATACCAAAATGGGTATATATAACCACACAAAGGACCAAAATTTAATCTTGTAAAATCGAACAACAAATGCAAATTACACGATAATTCCCATCTTTCTTAAAATATTAGCTGAAACTCATTTTTTTATCACAACCAATCAATCATGATATGATTGAAATTATCACAGTTATGGTCCACAATACCGTGCAATGTGCATCACGTGAGCTTCTGTCAGGTTACTCACCTCAGCTCTTCCCTGTGACTGACTCACAGTCTAACGCACGAGCTGCTGTCAGGTTAGGCAAAGATATGATCCATTAGTTTCAGTGCCTATAAACTGTTCCTTCAGGCTCAATTTACGATATTTCCTCATATTTAAAAACTAATCATTCTTTTAGTTTATAATTGAAAATTATCCTTGCAAACATTTACTAAAACTGGTAGCCGTTCAGTGATTTGACAAATAAACGGACACAATGTTATCGATATATAGTTAAATATTCACAATAATAATTAAGGGTCTTAATGATTGCTAGTAACAATCCCTGATAACTTTAAAAAAAATGAACAATTTAGATCATGAGATTATTTTGTGGAGCGGAACTAATTAAATAGTAAGCATCATATTAAGTTATTAGCTAGTTAGTGTTTGAACACTCTTATATATTTACCTTTGGATGTTCCTATCTGACTCGTAACAATTAGAGAGGTGTTATTATCGTTCTAAAACTTCTAATTAGCTCGCCATTGTTTTCTTTTTGTTTTTTAATGCAAAGGTAAACACTCAGCCATTGAACTTTGCATATTAATGTATACATACAAAACATATAATAAATTGATATTTGCACAACTGTTTTTTATCTCCGGGCCTCAAGCGTCCTCACAACTATCATGTTAATGTGATTGTCCGACATAATCTAACTAGACCACATGATATATTTTCTTCCGTATAATCCTATGCAGTTGACCTAATCTCATAAATTTACTAAATTGTTCTAACATACGATTACGAGAATTCAAACTTTTACACTAACAGATAAGCACAGTATCCTACCCACACTTGTTGACAAAAAAAAAAAAAAAAAAAAAAAAAAAAAAATCTAACCCGCATTACACATGCATAAAATAATAATTATTTGAGTTGATATTTGTGTAGATTTATAATAAAAAAAAGTTGGGCAATAATTTTATCACACCACCATAATTTGCAAATAAGTAAGATTCTCTTCCTTCCTACATCTTCTCTCATCCCCTTCTTTCACACTCTTCTTTTTGTCTTATTCTTTATATAAAAAATTCAAAACAAAATGTAGACGTGGCGTAATCGCAACCGTTTAAATAAGAATGGATGAAAGAGGAGAAAAATTAAGAGGGAAGGTAATCCTACTTCATTTGCAAAAGAGGTAATAAAAAAAATCAGACAATAAAATAATATTCAGGACATTCTTGAGAGAAAAATCTTGATAGGTGGAACATCCATTATCCATGTGATGACCACCAGTCTTTCAGAGGGAAATTGGTTTTTTGGCTCTCATCTGACCAACAAACTTTAAAAATTGCAAGGACAAAGCATTTGCAACCATAAATACAATTCAAACCCAAAAGCACTTCACTTCCTCTTCAAACTTCTCCCCACAATACAAAGACCAACTCTTTTTCTGAGGGTCACTCATCTCTCTCACTCTCTCCAACTGATAAGGAGAGCAAAGAGAACTCTCTCTCTCTCTCTCTCTCTCTCAAAAATATATACATGTACATGCATACATATATATATATATATATGTGGGCTTCTTGGATCCACTCAATTGCTATTCCAACTTGTGCTCAATGTTAAAACAGAAACCATTCCCAGTGGCCCCATTTGATTGTTTTCAGAGTTTTCTTCATTACCCACAACTGTTTTAATGACTATTTTCTTGCTGGCGTTTCGTTTCTGAGAAAATTTTGGTGATTTTCCTTTCTGGGTTTTTGGTATTGGTGATTTTGGGTTGTGGGTTATTGAGTTTTGGTGACCTTGGCTTCTGGGTTTTTCTTAGAATGATGTCAATGACATGCCGCACTTTTGATGGGAGAGCAGTGTTGGATTTTGTGGCTTGTGGGTGTTCTTCCAATGCTTTGTTGGATCGTTATTCGGTAAGGAATTACTCAAAGGCAAACTCCAAGGGGAGTTGCAGAGGTTATGGAGCTCGGCCGAATCGAATTCGGTGTGGAGTTTCTTCAATGAAAACAGCTCAGACTCCAGTACCAAAAATGGCAGCTGAGGCTCTGCTAAATGGTAAGGCAATAGAACTTTTTTTCCAAGTTTGAACTTTTAATTAATTCAATTTATTTCAATACCATATGAGTTATTTCTATCAAATGCTTGAAATTACATTTTTTTAATTTTGTGTCCTTGTTTGCACCGTTGTAGGTGTTCCTCAAGGTCTTCCACAAGTCCTGAATTTAACTAAAGAATCCAGAAAGCCGGTTTCGCTGACAAATTTGTTTGAAGTTGTTGCCAATGACCTCCTGACATTGAATCAAAATCTTCACTCAGTAAGTACTCCTTTTGGATTTCCTGGTGCCGTGTGATACTTATATCTATTAGGTAGTGTATGGTGTAGAATGTCTCGTGCCGGGCCCAGCTGAGCTTAGTTTTAAACAATCCTTTTCCGCTTGATGGTATTGTATCAGTTACTATGTTTGCTTTCAAGAACAAAAAGCACTTTGACCTTTTTTATGTTTTGACATCATGACGGATAACTCTTTATAGGTACATACGTCCTTGTTAAAGCCAGAATCGTTATGATAAATGTACTAATAAGTGGAAGTGTCATGCTTATTTGGAGGTTGTCTTGCCTTTCCCATTTTATTGACCGTAGGTATGAATATAGTCCTTGTTCACTTATTCTCTCCATGCCTTCCCATTTTATGTAGATAATGCTGTTATCCATTTGATTGCTTATCAGTTATAGTTGAGCATGCATATCCAATCGCAAAAGTCAGAAGTCCCTTATCCCAGCGGTTTGGGTAGGCACTATAAATCTTTACCCTGTTCTTTCCTGTTTACCTTTTCCCATTTACAAATTTTCTTTATATTTTCGAAATCATCATCATCCCTGCCTTCATTCCCAATCTTGCCGATTCCAAAAAGAAGCAATGCGTGTGATAGTCCGTCCTGATGGTGTTATATTCATTAGTTTGAGTGAGCTGCATTCTTGGGAACACTTTTCCAGTCTTGAACTTGATGTACAGTGAAAACTTCTTATCAATCATCCTGGTACTTTAACTTTTTCCAGTCTCTTGCTGCCGATTATGGCACCCTTGTCATTACCAAAATGTTCATAGACTTTATTTCTAATGTCCTATAGCATACATGATTTACTAATATAATAATTATAGTTGACTTAGCAAGTGTTAAGAAAATCAACCATTTGAATATAATGTTTTATCGCGTTACTCCTCGTGGTTCAGCTCTGCTTTATGATTAAAAAGTTATGTGCTTGACGATTTATGGAAATTTTAGATTAGTGCACGTAGTGTCAGGGTGACCACCTCTGCTGAGATTATATTATCAGGCCTTATTTTCTGTTTATATCTACTTTAGTGGAAAGGATAGTTTGTGATAATATGCTTGTTTCAGATTGTTGGTGCAGAAAACCCCGTCTTAATGTCAGCTGCCGAGCAGATCTTTGGTGCCGGTGGGAAGAGGATGAGACCTGCATTGGCGTTTCTAGTGTCCAGAGCAACAGCAGAACTAGTTGGGTTGAAGTGAGTTTGATCCAATGTTCTTAAGCAGCGAGTATTGTATGAGGTTAACAGATTTTGACTTCACTCTAAACTTCTCTGTTTAGGGAACTTACCAAAGAGCATCGGCGGTTGGCGGAGATAATTGAAATGATCCATACAGCTAGCTTAATACACGATGATGTATTGGATGAAAGTGACATGCGACGAGGTAGACATCTTTATCTTCTTATATATGTCAGTTTTAAAGTTATACAGATGTCTCTGTGTCAAAATATATCACATACCTAATCTTTGGCCCAAAATTTTGGCTACTACGGTATCTGTCCGTAAATTCTCAACAAACTTTCTACCTTAAATTCCTCATTCTTATGAATGTCTGAAATGTATGCAACGGCTGAGGGCAGCGGCTATCTAGAAAGCATTGCCAGTGAATGTCTAGCACAAAGCGACTACCACATAATGCTCGTGCTTTTATTATTTTATAGTGTTTCATTTAATTGTTTTCTTTTATCCCCTTAGATCCAATTCCAATGAATTCGATCCTTACTTGCAGGGAAAGAAAGCGTTCATCAAATGTTTGGTACAAGAGTGGCAGTTCTTGCTGGGGACTTCATGTTTGCACAGTCGTCATGGTATCTTGCAAATCTAGAAAACCTTCAGGTCATCAAGCTCATCAGCCAGGTAAGTTGTGTCATGTTTATACTCTCGAAGCCTTCATGGGCTGCGATCTTGTTTCTAAAAGACTTCAAACTCAAAAGTTGAAGAATAAAACAATTAGAAAGAGGTTGCAGTCTGTTGCATACTTGCAACCTTTAATTTAGATGTAAATCTGTTAACGCTATGGCAGGTTATCAAAGATTTTGCAAGCGGTGAGATAAAGCAGGCATCTAGCTTGTTTGACTGTGATGTCGAACTTGAGGAGTACTTGCTTAAAAGCTACTACAAAACAGCATCTTTAATTGCTGCAAGTACCAAAGGAGCTGCTATTTTCAGTGGGGTTGACAACTATGTAGCGGAAAAAATGTACGATTATGGCAAGAATCTTGGTCTGTCCTTCCAAGTTGTTGATGACATATTGGATTTCACACAGTCCGCGGAGCAGCTGGGTAAGCCTGCTGGAACTGACCTCGCCAAAGGAAACCTGACAGCCCCTGTTATATTTGCTTTGAGGAAAGAACCAAAACTAAGAGATATAATCGATTCTGAATTCAGCGAGACTGGTTCTCTCGACGAAGCCATTGCATTGGTTAAGGCTTGTGGGGGGATTGAACAAGCACAAGAATTAGCGAAAGAGAAAGCTCATCTTGCAATCCAAAATCTCGAGTGTCTTCCCAAGACTGCTTTTCGATTGGCGCTGGAAGATATGGTGATGTTTAATCTTCAACGGATTGATTAGCGGGCTAATTTTTTTTAATAGCCTTTATAGACAAGAACACCTTAGGCAGAAGGAAGAAAGGTTAAAGATTGAAAGCTTTCTACCGCTGCAAGCACTTTTGTGCACATGTACAAAAAGTGCTTCTGGGTAAAGGTATATATGCTATAGCTGAAGCTCATTACAGTGTTGATTTAATTACAGCTTCTTCATAAATTGGCATAAAAATGAAATTAATACTTCACCATTGTTGGACAATAAAATTCTGAGGTCATCAATAATTTTCACCAAAAATATTCCCTTGTTGTTCTTTGAACTTCAACAATTCCATGTTTGGTGTATCATTTGTGCGTGCACGGAAATGATTGTCACAGAGAAAAATCTCTCGTAAATTTATTATGTCTTGATTCTTAAGTTTTTGTGGTATTTGAGTACATTCAGAGAAAAAGAAAAAGAAAAAAAGAGAGTATCTAAAATGCAATTTAGGCGAAGTCATTGAATATTGTTATTCAATTCGATCCAATGTTGAAAATCCAACCAAACCAAAAAAACAAAAAAAAAAAAAAATTCAGATGATCAATTTTATTATTAAGGAATGATCTAAAATATCAAATTTAAGTTTTTGGCTAAAATACGTCCATAAATTGATATTTAATGACTATATATGACCGTCAATAGTTGAACTATATCAAGTTTGTAGAAGTACCACAAAAAACTTTCTTTTATTATAGTAGTCCCCCGCCGATCTCTCCTCCACCATTTTATTAAAAAATATAAAGGAAAGAAAAAGGAAAAATACAAGTGGGGGGATTAAGCCAAGATTGTCAATGACAAAATGATCAACGAAACCGATAATAAGGGCAAAATGAAATGTCAAGAGCATGGGTAGAGGCAACAAAATTTGGAACCGGAGACCACCAACGATAAACATAACTTCTACGCCAAATGAAGCTAAAGAATAAGCAACTTGATTTTCTTGTTGATAAATATGTATACATATAAATCGCTTTTGACAAAGTCACCAAAGACCATTTTACCAATCAACCATAAGATTAGGAGTCTTGGAAAGATAATAAATAACCAACATGGAATCTGTTTCAATTCGTATATGCTTCCAATCTCTGACTACAAATAAAAAGCTTCAATTATTAATAAATTTTTTTACGTTCTTCTTAGAAAAAAAACTTGCAAAATCACTTATGAGTAGAAGTGCTTATTAGATAAGCATTTTTAGAGAGGTCCGTTGGTTAAAAAGAAAAAAAATAAATTAAATGGGTTGGATTGGATCATATGTTCAGATTGTGGAGCGGCCCAATTCCACCCGCTAAATTACAGTTTAACCCGACCCTTTCGTTTGCTCGTCCCCGTTTTCCCTGGACCTGATACACGAACTCCTTCGGCCTTTCCCGACGGCAAAATAAGCCGTGGATCTGTCAGCAACTACAGAAAAGTTCATGGGTTTGCTCCACGTCACCGACGCCTAGCCTTGCTCCTCCACTCTCGTCCGTCACTCTAACAATCCCCTCACTCCTTCCCAATTTCCATTTTCTAAATGCGGCGTCGTCTGACCCTCCGTTGCTTGCAGGTCTACGGCTCCAGTATGCTCCCTACCCTGAACACCTCCGGCATGCTTCTCTCCGAACGCGTGTCTCGTAGCATTGGGATGGTGGGTTCCAATAAGCTTATAAGCTTATGATAATGCTGGCTTAGTATGCAGCAAATGCAATATTGTATGTTTAATCTACTGTGTGATCCTAGTTATATTTTCCACCCTTTATAACCCAATTCATTTAACTAAACTGGGCACTAAGGTAGCTTAAATCTCTGTAGTCCTACAGGACATACCAAGAAGCCTACTGTTACCAGTCAAGTTATGAGACTTGATTATGACGTCTAGCATATTATCAATCGAAATGCTAGTTTTGACGGGTTTTATTATCCTGTGCTCTACCTGTATACAAATTCTTTTCTTTTGGTGCTTTTCGGATCAAGAGTAAGCTTAACACGTCATTTTCCGGTAGGTGCGGATAAAGAGAGATTAGGCATTCAGGGCCATCATCCAGAACTACCCCTCCAGAGTAGGCTGTCATGTGTATTAAGCACCTTGAGTTATATTATGATCCATGAGGATCTTAATGAAATGATCGAGCAATTCAAAGTAGAGCTCAAAAGCTTCTTCCTTTGTTTCTGAACTAAAAGTTGTTAGTTTCCTCACCTACGAACAATGTTTACGCGCACAAAGAAGCACACACGCTCTGTTCCATACTTTGACTCAAAAACAATGTAAGCGCAACTTTCAAATCGTTAAGCCTAAAACTTTTATTCAACACCAATAAACGTAATACTTTTTACCATAACCAGAAGTAGAAGGGAATGACCAGTCTGTCGTATTCCGATCAGTAAGATATGAACTTTACTGACTTCTGCAGTCTTATCAGCAATCTGCAACGAAAACAAGCGATGAATAGAAAAGGTCACTAACAGAAAGTAGAGTCGTAAGTTCCAACAGTGAACTGAAAGAGAACTACGGAAACTTAGCATGGGAGGTTCTATCGGTCTGGAGAAATCAGAAATTAATTAAACGAAAAACCAAGAGTCAATTACACCGAATTGCCAAAGCAGCAAATTAAAAAGATCAAGCAAAACAGATCAGATAGGACAGGCAGATAAGAGATAAGGACGGTGAATTACACAATGTTCTAATAAGTCCTGCTTCTGACATTGCAAATATTGTTCGTCATCACATGATAACTAGCACTATTTCTAGACAGCCAGCGTTACCCTGTTAATCAATCTAGTGTAATATATCCCTGCATACCTCTGTTATCAAATGGTAAACATGAGCAGTTAATGCAACCTTCACAAAGAAGGTCAAAACACTAGCCACCGAATCTCGGAACTCAATCTCCTTATTGAGTACTTAATTTACAGATATCAAAATGATACACCTAAGTAATTATTCCTGGAAATGAGCAACAAAAGGATAAATTATTCATGCTTTGAATAGAAGTCATCTAACAGTACTCGGCACATCAACCGCCATAACATTATAAAGTCATTATCGAATCCTAGAGACTTGTTCAAAATAATTATTGGAGCCACAGAAAAAAAAAAAAAAAAAAAAAAGAAACAAAAGGGGCGAGGGGACGAGAATTCCACCACTGCTAAATGAAATTTGAGTGATGTCAACACTACTAGATGATTCAAGAAAACTGACTACTAGTGCAATCAGAATTTTACCTTTGTTTCGTCCAAGCACAAACTATTAAGTTCCTCCAGTTCATAACCTTTCCCCTTTGAAAAATTCCGTAGAGATTGCTAAGTCTAGTGTATTTGGAAGCAGAAGCCATTTTATTGTTTAAAAGAAGCATCCGCAAAAGAAACTAATCGCATTCGCATACAATTTCTTTCTCTATTTCTCCTGAAAGTTAACTATCGAGCCTAAAAGCTACTTCTCTGTTTCGGGCCACTATTTCCTTTCTTCTAATTAGACCCTATTTCCAATTCCATCGTTTTCAAATACCACAACAAACTTGTAGAAATGGTGACAATTACCATCCAAGAAGGCCAATTTTCAAGCTTGTGTAAACAACCTGTCGACATTGCTGGCAACAGGCTTGGCAAAGAAATCTAAGATGTTGTATCAAACCTCATACACATTGACATTTTAAGACTCTATGACGCTCCCAACCGAAACTTGTACAACTCTAAAAACTTAGCTTCTTGATAATTACCAAGGTTTTCATTTCGCAATTAAACATTTTCGCCATTTCCTCAGCATCAAATCTCTTCCACAGCACTAAAGTTTTGATTTCCGTAAGAAACCGATTGCGGTAACGAACAAACGACACATAAATATTCAAAAAACATAAAAATTAGCAGACCATCGCAAAACCCATTTCTGAAAGCGAAGAAATTGCAAACAAAAAAGAGAGAGAACAATGGAAACGAAGAGCTTGAGAACTTACCGTTTTGGGAGGCTACCAAGACGCTTTCTTAACGCCATTAAGCATGCCTTTGGAGGCGAGAGCACGGAAAACGATACGGGACATACGGAAGGTCTCGTAGACGGCGCGTGCGCGGCCGGAGAAGATGCAGCGGTTCCTGACGCGGGTGAAGGAGCTGTTCCGGGGCAGCTTGGAGAGCTTGAAGCGGTTCTCCTCGCGCAGATCGCTGGGAAGGCTTGGGTCCTTGCAGAGGGCCTTGTACAGGTTCCGCCTTAGCTCGTATTTCGCCGCCAGCAAGCGGCGGTGGTGGTCTCGGATGTTAGCATTTTCTTCAGACACTGACATCGCTGCTCTTTTGGGTCAAATGGCACATTCTCTGATTTGTTTTGGTGTCGGGTCCTAGGGTTTTAAGCTTTGGAGACCTGTCAAACCGGGTCGGATTTTTACGACAGGCTTTTCTGAAACGAATACTAGAAGCCCAAGCAAAAAGATTTACACTAAAACGCGCCATACATAATTCAAAAGAAAAACTAATGAAAATGATTTGAAAATTTTGAGTTTTAACGATAAGAATAAAATAAAATGTAAAATAAATTGTACCAAGATTGACTTTTTAGTATAAAAATATGATTTTTCGTTAAAATAAACAGTACCAGAGTTTTTCGTTAAAATTCTCAACTTCAAATTGGTGCCTTTCTCTTCTGTACTTTTAACAATAATCTCCAGTGCTTTCAGTCACATGGCTAATTTCGTTGATAACGCAACAAATAGCGTTCCATCGTTATCATCTAAAAGATGGGAGATTAATTTGCTTCAGACCTACGTGTTTCATGTTAAAATTTCAAAAAAAAACTTACAAATTAGAGTGTGTATATATATGGGAAATCCTTAAAGAAAGGGATCCGATTTTTTTATAAAAATGGGAATTAGTTGTGGAATCTATAGTATATCGAACTTTAACGATCCAAATTGTTTATTTTTCAAGTTGCACCTCATAAATAATCCTTGCAAAATATTAGCTAAATTGAAAATGTTTAAGACGTCTAATTGGGTTCAAAGAAATTAACGAATACTTTGTTATATAAGAAACAATGAAATTTTATCTTGATAATTAAATAAGTAAATGATTTCGGATTGAATTGAATTTTTCCAAAGATGATTTATGAATCGAGACTTACAAAATAGATGGTTCGGATCGTTGAATTTCGACGTGAAGTGGGCCCCATACGTAATCCCCATCTTTTGAAAAAAATGAGAATCTATTTGCATAAAGGACTATATATATAGGAAAAGGATCCTGGCCGGATTCTTTTCCTAAGGATCCTAGGGATCCCGTGATCGTGACTGTTCATCGTATATTATGCGGTCAATTTTTGTTAGGCACTATTTATATTTAATTTTAAAATTTAAAATTATTTATGACCGCACGATGTACGATGCACGATTACGATCATGGGATCCTTAGGATTCCTAAGATCCTTTTCCATATATACACACTAGAAGATGAGCACACACTTTGTCAAAAAGTACAAAATTATTATTTTGCCCTCTTCATGTCAACATCGTTTATTCAAAAGTGAGGGCAAAATTGAAAAAAAAAAAAAGGACAAAAAGTTGATAAGCCCTCTTCTCTTAATAGAATAAACTAGATATACACTTACAACTTTAAGGTGACTTAGCGCATCAAAAGTTGGTTTAGTGCTTCCAAAGACTTGCAAAACTTCTTCTTGTGCTCGAGTTTGCCAATTCTGATTTTGACTCGGTAAAACCATTGCCCAAACAGGCAACACTGAAGTGGTCACTTTGCCCAGCAAAGTAATACAGCTTTCACTCTTCAATCACATCTTCAATACGCATTCCAATGTTTTTGTTGTCCCCATGCTCCTCAATTTCCTTCCAAGTTGGACTCCAAAACTATACCCAATCAGTCATCTTTAGCACCTTCACCTCACTTGATCATCTTCTCTCCTGTCTATAATACCCAAGAGTAAACCTTCTATATCTCAATTAACTTCCTTCAACCTCTTGTTCATTTTGGTTGGTAGAAACCTGCACAAAAAAAGCACTACTTCAATTTTTTTGGAAAACGTCAAGAAGATTAAGTGTGTTTCACCGATTATTGTGACATTTGTAACCTAGGCTGTTATAGATGAGAAATTTCGGTGTCCGTGTGACTCCAGACACAATAAAACTCACTTACCCCATTGCCCCTAACATTGAGGCCCACCACTATCCATGTCATGACCTCACCCATCTCTCACACTACTTTTATGACTCATTACCCCCGAGTTCTTGATGAAATAATTTCTTGTTATAGAGGTAGTAAGATGTAAATTTTGTAATTTTTTTTTCCCAATGAAAGACGATTCAAATTTTACCCCCATCCTGGAATGTTAAACACTTTCAAAAATTGCTATAAAATATTTCGATTGCTCTTTCAGTAGTTGAAATATTCTCCTTCCCTCTTCATAGTTACTTCCAAATGCTGCTCGTGAAATCACATCGCCTGTCGAACTCTGCAGCCAAGGCCACACATCCAACTCACATGACCCCTCTTTGGCCACCAAACAATCCCATTCGTTAATCCCCTCTTTGGCAGCAAGAGAGTCTGATGGGTTTGGATTGTGCCTGTTCGAGCATCGTTGAGCTCTCCTTGGTGTCTCCAATTCAGCACCCTCCATGCCCATGTACTTACCATGCACACCAAGATAACACTTGGTGCAACACAACTAGCCATTGATGCTTCCAGTACTACTTGTGTGAGATTTTTGAGAGAACATAAAGAGAGGGGTTCAACTTAGAAACTTGTTTGGGAGGACTGAAATTGGTGTTGGTTTTATTTAGTGTTAAGTCACTAAATTAGTGTGTGAAAACTAATTACGTAACCCCTTATCCAAGTCCATATATACATTGTATTCATTACAAAACATTGAGTTGAAAATGACAATTTGTCCGGATAATGCTTGGCTACTTAAAAATGAGTAAGAATTCCTGCTCAAAATTCTTCGTGTCGAATTCATAGTACTTCGTGTTTATAATCAAAACTGTTCATATTAAAGAAAACTACCAAGCTCTACCAATTTTATTGAAATTGAGCCACAATTTGTGGGTAAAGACATTTACAAGCATAGGAACATTTACATTTCTAGCTAAAAGGATTCTTAATTAAGTAATTGAAAAATCAATGAAAATATAAGCTGAACATTAAATCACACAAAAGAAAGAAGGTGAATTCTTTTTATAAGAAATTGATTGGAATTTATTTGCCCATAGTTTCTACTTACATATTTTCTCTGGTTAAAGATACATGGATATGGTACAGTTCTACATTCTTCTGGAAAATCGCATACGGCTGATTACAACAAGACAATAAGCATGGAAAAAGCAAACTACGAAATAAGAACACATCGTACAAAATGCAGGCACCAAGATCAGCACAGTAGTAAGGTGCCCGACTCTAATGAACAAAACAATCTCTTTTAAGTTTGGGGTTCTGAAGCCGGGCTTTGACATTGTTCAAGAATAATGTTACAGTTGTTCATGGTGCGTGCATCAAGGAGACCGTGATTCCACAATTTGATCATAAATAATCTCCAACACCTGCCAAAGTGATTCGTCATTTGAGATTCGCGAAATATAATCAAAAGTAAAGCATGATAATACTAGTTGTTTTCCGGATCGCTTTTGCTGGATAGGGGGAGGGATGATGCAAAGACAAAATCACTTTATACAGATGTGTTAAATCAGATAATACGATTCACCTGTTCATAGCAGAAGGTAAAGTCCTTAAACTTCAGGGCAAAGAATGAAAAAAGTTTAAATTATACTAGGTCCACATTTGAACGCCGCTGTACATATAATCCCTATGTTGCGTTTGAATGAGGGACTTTTAAGTTCATGGAACTCAGGCTTAATTTGTTAGAAATGCATTACAAAAATTAGATAAGAGGGGGTTGTTAATGACTAGATGCAACAAATTCGAGGGAACTAACAATCAAATGAGTGCGATTAATACCATATCAGAGCAGGGGATTTGACAAGGTCATGCTCGTGCAATCTCGAAAATGCCTCACATGCCCAAGGAATATGACCGTCAGCCAATACCCTGCCATATTTACACAAAATAATTCACGTAAAGAATCAAGAGAAAACCAATGTTTTTCCTTATAAGAAAATGAAGTTGACCGTTTTTCTCTTGGTCTGGTGCTTGTCCATCATTGAGCATTATTCATGCAAATGAAGAGCCCTACCAGACGTGCCATGATATCAACGGTTGTAATTAAAAGAATTGAGTGTAGAGAAATTACTGTTGCTTCCTCACGAAGGAGTTCCACATATGCATCATTTGCTTCTCATCTTTAGTCACATCAACAAAATCATCAAGCATCTACAATAGAGTAAAATACCACTTATTCATTTGCTAGATGCCAAGTCAATGTAAAGTGCTCCTAACATATTCCCAAATAAGCTTCCATATGTTCAACGCAGATCCATCAGTGCACAGGAATGCAAAGAAAATGAAAAAGTCTAGATGGCAAGAAAATATTTTCCTCGATGGCTCAATTAGCCATTAATAAAGGTCTTGTCTGACTGAACGTCAGTTGTCTAAGAAACATATGATATTGTACAAGCGAGAGGTTCGGTTTTATACCCTTCGGTCTTCAAGATCAGCAACGTCATCATCAACCTCATCCTCACTATTCTGATCTGACAAAACTTGTTCCAACATCATCGGCTTCAAGCATAAAAATAATAATTAGAAATTCAGTGCCGCATATTCTAAGTAGTGTCATTTAAATATATGAGCCAAAAAGAAACTAAACTATTGACAACTGTTGGCCTTTGGAGCTAGCAACTGAGCAAGCGGCTGATATGGCAACCATTACTAGCAGCCCTCAATGATTATACTAATATAGAGTCATACCATAGCAGTTACAGACTTCTGATACAAGTGCAAGTGCTAAGGGAAAGAATAATTTACTGTGACAGAACACGTGCTAAAGAAAAGAAATAATATTAAGGTGGAGGCCAAAAAATCAGATTGCTCTCTCGTTCATACACCAAGGAAAGAAAAATTGGCAAATTCACAAAGGCTTCCATGTATGACACTCAAGAGTATATGATAACTGAAAAATTCACAAAGCTTAATCACCGTTCGGTGATGCATTCATCACATAAGTTATTCTCACCTGGGCCCTATGTGAGTGAAAGAACTTTCTCTTCCGTAGGAGGGCACAGCTGAAAATATAGAGAAAACTTCTAGATAAAAACCATATTCTTATGTGGCCACATGCAAGACTAATAATCGACATGCACAGTATTTTCTTAAAGAACTCATTTTAAAATAATTGAAAACTAAC